AGGCGGCACTGGGGGCATCACCCCAAATTCTGCGCTGTGACCCCTCCCGTGGGCTCGGCACGGGCGGACGGTGACCCATGTCTGGCGGCTGTGGCGATTCGGCTCTTCTGTGGCCCGGCTGGGGCTGAGGGTCCCCTCTGGCCCCCAGGCAGTTCGTGGAGGAGGCGGCACAGGACTTCGCCCGGCAGCATCCCGATGTCGTCCTCTACGTGAGCCCCCACTCGGGCCCGGGCCCGGCCCCTGTGCTGCGGGCCGAGTACTGTGAGTGCTGGGGGGCTTGGGGAGGGGACGGGGGGGTCTCCCTGCCCCGGCTCTGTACCACCTCTGCCCGGCACAGATGGTGCCAGGGCAGCTGCTGTGGGATGGGGGAGCAGCAGGTGCCCCCCGGAGGCTGTGGAGGAGGGGGATCGCAGCCTGACCCCCTCACTCTGCTGCAGTGAACGGGACGGTGCGGGACGAGCTCATTGCCAGCAAGACGAGTGAGGAGATCATGCAGCTGGCCACCAAGCTGGCCAACCAGTCCGGCCTGGACATCATCCGCATCCGCAAGCCCTTCCACACTGACAACCCCAGCGTCCAGGGCCAGTGGCACCCCCTCACCAACAAACCCTCCATCCTCACCGTCCAGGGCCCACGCCTGCAGCCCGAATAAAGCCTCCTCCACCCCCACGTCTCTGCATCCATTTCTCCTGCCTTTAGAAGAACACTGTTACACCACGTCCAGACAGAGCCATTTTTATTGCTGGGGGAATGTGGAGCTGTGCATGAGGAGTGCCAGACACAGAGTGATGCCCCTCCTTGGAGGGTTGTGGGTGGTCCTTGGGGTAGTCCTTGGGGGTGGCTCACTCCCCCTTCTTGCAGCAAAAACAAGGGCTGGGGCAGGGTGACAGAGTGTGCAACTCTTGCCTTGTCCTGCTAAGCCTCACTCTCTTGGAATAGGAGGCCTGAGCTGCAGCTTCTGAGAGACCCTGGGGGTTGTCACCCATCTCCTGTTTCCCCTACAGGGCTGAGCCCTTGGCCATGTCCTGATCATGGAGCTATGAGCAAGGAACATGGGGGAGGACATGGACCCCCACAGGTGTGTCCCTCCCCAGCTTCTCCAGTGTCACCACATTGTCCCTGGAGCATGAGATGCTTCTGTCACCCCCATCTCTCAGTCCCCAGGAGGTGGCAGTTGCAGAAACAGTTGGGAAGATTTAGGGACTGTGGCTGCTCCATGGAAAGTGCCATGAAGAGAAGGCTCCACAGGGAGGCAGGCCTTTGTCCAAGATTCTTCTTCCTCACTATGTGAGGACATTTCCCTGCCCACGCATTTCGCCATGGGTGGCAGGTCTGTGCCTGAATTCCAGTTCACCAACGGCCCTGCACAGGAGGGCAGAAACGTTGTGCGTGGAGCCACAGGGGCACTGCAGACACCAGGGGCATGTGGATGATGTGCCGGTCCCTTGTCATGCTGTAGGGCACGATGGTGGCTGCCAGTCCTGCTGCCAGTGCATCTTGCTGCCTGCTGCTGCATCCAGTGCCCTGGGAAAAGGGAGCAGAGCCCTGTCTGTCAGGGTTGGAGGCCCTGGGGGTGCCACCTCCCCAGTGCACCCAGCCCCGTATTTCACCTGTGGCCTCTGCAGTGGACACATGCCCCTTCACCAGCTGCTCCAGGGTATTCAGGATATCAGCTCCTTGCCCTGTCTCTTGTGCCTCGCCAAACCATCCTCTCCCAGAGAGGAAATCCTGAGGGGGCAGATGCAGAACAGCAGGTAGGGGCTGGAAGCCACTGAGACCACCCCTCACAATGTGAGATGTGTCCAAGGCCCCTCTCCTGCCTGAGGGCTGGCAGCTGGGAAAAACCCACCAACCCTCCATCAGCAAAGGATCCTGTGCCCTGTCAGCCCTCAGCCCCCCTCCATGCTCTTCACCCACCTCTCAGCAGCTATCCAGCTCCTGTGTGCCAAGGGACACCCAGCCAAGGCTGGCCAAGTCCACACATCCACAACAGCGTCTCTCTCACGCCTGGGTGAACAGACAAAAACTCTTCCCTCCCCATGGTGTCCACCTTCCTGGAGCTCCTGTCTCCAGCTCGTGGCCACTGTCAGTGAGTTTTTATACATAAATAGAGCTCAGAATTTAAATACGTATTTGTTCCTTTTTTTCTGTACAGCAAGTCTCAGAAGTGAATGAATGCCAAAGGAATGGCTGAGCCTGGGCCCGGCCCAGCTCTGCCATCAAGGAGGTAGTTTTGCCTGAGACTTGTAATACTGCTGGCAAAGGGTGGGAGAAGGGACTGGAGGGGAGGAGGGCCCCACTGGCAGGACCCCCCTCCCCAGCCCCTACACGGAGCTCTCGTCCAGCTTTTCCACCAGTTGCGTGTGTTTTCGCTTCTCCAGGATTTTGCTGAGCTCCTCGGTGAAGGACGCGCTGTAGAGCGGGGAGGCCAGTGGCTCCTCCTGCTGCTGCAGCAGCATGTAGCTGTTGCCGTTCATCTTGCGCAGGACGTTGGGCAGAGCCCCCACGCCGTTGGTGAGCTCGGCTGGCAGCGGGGGTGGCACTGGGGGCGTGGCAGCCGGCTGCTCCTTGGCTGGGGAGGTGGCAGCCGTGGGCGCCTCGCCGGGAATGATCCGCAGGCAGCCGTCGGGGTAGGTGAGCTCTTCCTCCTCCTCCTCCCGGTGGCCCTTGCGCAGGCAGTTGGCCGAGACGGTCTGCAGCTCCACGCTGGCTGGCCGCGGCTCCCCTAGCACATACTTGCCCTTGCGCTTCTCCAGGCAGGACATGTACAGGAGGATGATGCTGAGCACGGTGCAGAGCACCACCAAGGTGACGATAGCAGAAATGTAAGCCACCTTCATGTCGTTGGTCGTCTGGCTGGCGGCATGGGGTGATGGGGCAGCCGTAGGGCTGCGGGGCAGCTCGGGCAGCACGGAGAGGCTGTAGGTAGCCAGCAGTGTCCGGAGACCCTGCTCCTCGCCGTAGCAGCGGTACTCGCCGCTGTGCTGGGGCAGCGTGTCCGTCACCAGCAGCCCATCCACCCCCACGCGCAGCCGGTCCTGCCCCGTGCCCAGCACTTCGCTGCCGTTCATCATCCACACGGCTCGGGCCAGGTTGGAGCGCTGGTCGCAGGGCAGCAGCACATCGTCCCCCTGCAGCACTGTCCGGTTCTTCCACAGCAGGGAGCCTGTGGGGACACGCACTGCCTTGCACCTCTCCCAGCTATTCTAAGGGATGCTGGACACCAGCATCCCCGTGGTCCCGAAGGGCAGGAGAGACTCACCCCGTCCAGAGCTGCTCCGGCATCCCTTGTTGCCACTTTGAATGTCCTGCACCAGCCCTGTGCTGCAAGGCATGGGGGGCTCAGCCATACAGCCTCAGCTGAGCCCCCCCCTTATGGGGGTCATGGCCACCAGGAGACCCACTGTCAGATGCCAGACCTTTGGGGTTGGCTCTGAGGTGATGTGAAACAGCGTGGGATGGGGCAAGTGTAAGGTTCATGGGGACCCATCTGCAGATGGGCAGCCCATCCCTACCTGTCTGTGGTGCCGATGGTGCGGCATGCCCTGCCATCCCAGGCACAGTAGGGGTCCCGGGCGAGGATGCAGTCATAGCAGGAGGAGTACTTGGCACAGGAGGCCAGGGGCACCTGCACAATCCCGCTGGCTGCCCCCACGTACAGGCTCCTCTGAAGGGGAAAGAGCTGACTCAGTATGGATCTGGCATGGTGCTGCTGGGCTGTGGAGTGCACCATGGTGCCCAGAGACCCTCCCCAGCCCCACAGCACAGCTCTCCCTTCATGGGTGTGCAGGAGAAGGGCCCCCAGCTCCCAGTCAGTGCTGATGGCCAGGCTGGTTCATTTCCCCAAGCTACCCTCCTGGTCTCCAGCACATGTCCCGAGCTGGGGTGACCCAGGAGTCACATCCCTCCCAAACCCCAAACAGCAGAATGACAGCTTCACAGCACAAGCATGCCCCATGTGTAGTCTCCTCCTACTTGCTCCATCCCTCACCTGGATGTGGGAGATCACCAAGCTCTCCACAGGCTGCAGGTCCCTGAACACCTGCACCTCCTCCACAATGTGGATGTCAGAGTTCACCACCACAGCCTTGTGGATCCAGCCATCCCCTGGAGAGCAGAGCAAGGGATTCAGGAGGGAATGTGAGGTGTGGCCTTTGCCCAGCAGAGGCCCATCGAACTCATCTCACACTCACCTGTGCCCATGAAGAGCACATCATAGGAGCGACCATCCAGGGCCTGCACCCTGTCTACAGCCAGCTGGCTGTACACCACGTTCTTCTTCACCAGGAGCGGCTCCCCGCCAGCTGGCTTCACCTCCTCAAACATGAGTGGGTGCAGCTTGACAAAGTCCAGGACACTGTTGGGCAGGTCCTGCGATGAGTTGTAGCCCTTCCTGCGGGAGTGGTCCGTGATGCACTGCCCAGGGGAAACAGGGGTCAGAGAGGAAGGCAGCTGCCCCATGCCACCCCTGCTCTGCACTCCTAGGCACTCACGGAGCCGGGCCGGGGCTCAGGAACTGCACCATCGTAGCGGGCCCATTTGCGAGCCCAGTCCTGGTACTCCATGTAGGGGCCCTCGAAGGCACGCTGCACCGCCGAGATGTCGTAGCGGCACACGGCCGAGGCCTCCATGGTCCTCCTGAGGAGCAGAACCTCTCCTAAGCCTGGGCAGATACATGGGTGCTCCCAACCAACACACCCCCAGGTGCTCAGCACCCGCCTGCGCATCCCCTTGCACATCTCTGGCTCCCCTGGTGCTGCAGACTTTTAGCCCCGATCCTTTTGGCTGCTGCCCCACTCACCACTGTGCTGAGAGTGTGAAGGCAGCATAGAAGACAGTGCTGGCCCAGCCGCCCCCGTCCAGGCTGCAGACACTGCGCAGCACCTCGTAGTAGGGGATGTAGCAGACCAGGCGTGCCTTCATGAAGGATGTCCACTTGCGCTGCAGAATCTTCTTCCCCCCCACATCGCTCTGGGAGGTGCAGAGAGCATTTCTGCACAGGCTGGACAGTTGCTCATTCCCCTCTGCCTATGCCTCAGTCTTCCCACAGGCAGAGGCGTGCTGCCCCTGCACCAACAGGAGCAATGCTTGGCTCCCTGTGGCTGGGAGCGTGCCTACCTTGCAAACACGGGCAACCCGGGCCACTCGGGCCACCTGACTCTTGTCAAAGAAGGATGTGGTCTCCTCTCCTGCCCGCTCCATGAAGAAGTAGTAGATTTTGTCATCATCACCCACAGGGCTGTCCCTGCTCTCCCGGACCAGCACAGAGGTCACAAACTCAGCATCTGGGAACATGGAGCAAGAGGTGGTGATTGGAGACCAGATCAGAATGGAGAATCCTTCCCTGCCTCAGTTCATTCTCAGAGCAAACCACATAGGATTCCAGAGCCATCCCTCACGCCCGCTCCACACTCTCCAGGGCAATGCACAGTGTGCCACAGCTCACGAGATGGGAGGGACAGGGACATCTCACCATTCAGCCAGTGCAGTGGGGACTCCTCCGTTTTCAGTGGCCGCTGGTGCAGGTTCCTCCGAATGTCGGGGAGGCTCCGAAACTCGTAGCGTGTTGCTGTGTACAAGCCTCCATCTGTGCAGGGCAGGTGCCCATCAGCATGGCCCTGCAGCCTGAGGACAGCCCCACAGGCCACCAGCACCCCACTGCCCCAGGC